TTTTAGTTTTATGCAATTCCATTTGCCTATTTTTGCATTTGTTACCTGTGCTTTTGAGTTCATTGCCAAGAAATCATTGCCTAGACTGATAATAAGGAGCTTATTCCCTATGGATTCTAGTAGTTTTACAGTTTCAGATCTTATGTTTAAATCTCTAAATGATTTTGAGTTGATTTTTGTATATGGTGTGAGATTAAGGTTAATCTGTCTTCTGCATATGGATATCCAGTTTTCTCAACATCATTTGTTGAAGAGAATGTCCTTTCCCCATTGTGTGTTCTTGACACCCTGTCCAAGATCAGTCAACTGTACATGCAGGGACTTTTTTTTTCTCAGTTTTCTATTCTGTTTCATTGGTTATGTCTGTTTTTATGTCACACTGTTAAAAAGACTGTAGCTTTGTAATGTATTTTGGAATCAGAAAGTGTGATGTTTCCCGCTTTGTTTTTCTTGCTCTACATTGTTTTGGCTATTCAAGGTCTTTGTGGTTCCATATGAATTTTAGGATTTTTTTTTTGTCTATTTCTGTAAAGAATGACATTAGGTTTTGATAGGTATTACACTGAATTTGTAGATCTCTTTGGGTAATAAGAACATTTTAACAATGCTAATTCTTCCAATTCATGAACACAGGATTTCTTTCTATTTATCTGTGGCTCTATAATTTCTTTTTTGGTGTTTTATAGTTTTCAACAAAATTTTAATTTTTTTGTTATTGTGAATAGGATTGTTTTCTTAATTTCCTTTTTGAATAGTTCATTATTTGTGTATAGAAATGCTACTCATTTTTGTATGTTCATTTTTTTATACTGAAACTTTGTCAAATTTGTTTATTATTCTAACAGTTTTTTTTTTTTTTTTGTCTTTTTTCATGTCCGGCAATGGATTGCAACCCTCAGTGTTGCGCCCGTACCTGACCGGGACTAGCAACGGGATCGCAACCCTCGGTGTCGCACCCGCACCTCGCTCGGCCAGTGAGCGGGAACCGGTCCGTATGTGGGATCCGAACCCTCGGCAAGAGCGCCGCTGTGCTCCCAAGTGGCGCACTGTAGCAGTGCGCCACCAGGCCGGCCCAATTCTAACAGTTTTTTGATGCAGTCTCTAGGGTTTCTACATAATTAATCATGTCATCCCCAAACAGAGGTAATTTTACTTCCTCCTTTCCAATTTGGATGCCTTTTTTTTCCCTTGTTTAATTGCTTTGGCTGGGACTTCCAGTACTATGTCTAAAAGAAGTGGTAAGAATGGGCATCCTTGCCTTATACAGGGTCTTAGAGGAAAGCCTATCAGTTTTCCACTATTGATTATGATGTTTTCTGTGGGTTTTCAGTATATGACCTTTATCATGTTGAGGTAAATGCCTTCTATATCTATTTTTTTGAGAGTTTTAGTCATAAATGCAGGTTGAACTTTGTCAAAAACTTTGTCAGATAATTGGGTTTTTTTTTTTTTTTGGTAATATGGTGCATTAAACTAATTGATTTTCATATGTTGAGCCATCTTTGCATCCCTAAGAGAAATCCCAGTTGGTCGTGGTATATGATTCTTTTAAGTATTATTGAATTTGATTTACTAGTATTATGTTGATGATTTTTGTATTTATGTTCATCAAGGATATTGTCCTGTAGTTTTCTTTTCTTTTAGTTTTTCCATGTGATTTTGGTATCAGGTTGATGCTGGCCTCATAAAGTTAGTTTGGAAGTGTTTCCTCTTCTATTTTTTGGAAGAGTTAAGGAGGGTTAATATTAATTCATCTTTGAATGTTTGATCAGATTCAGCCATGAATCCTTCTGGTCCTGGGCTTTTCTATGTTGGAAGGATTTATTACTCATCTAATCTCCTTGTTTGTTATTGGTCTATTCATCCTTTCTCTGTCTTCTTGATTCAGCTTTGGTAGGTTTATTATTCTAGGAATTTATCCATTTCTTCTAGGTTATCCAGTTCAATGGTTAATAATTGCTCACATAGTCTCCTATGATCCTTTTTATTTGGGGGACATCTGTTGTGATCTATCCTCTTTTATTTGTGATTTTTATTTATTTCAGTTCTCTCTTTTTTTCTTGGTTAGTCTAGGAAAGGTTTGTAATTTTGTTTATCTTTTCAAAAAATCAACTCTTGGTTTTGTCAGTTTTTTCTATTATTTTTTAATTCTTTGATTTATTTCTACTTTAATCTTTATTATTCCCTTCCTTCTGCCAACTTTGGAATTAGTTATTTTTAAAAAAAATTTCTTGAAGTGTGAAGTTGGGTTGTTTATTTGAGATCTTTCTTCTTTTAATGTCTGCATTTACTGATATGAGCTTCCCTTAGTAGTGCTTTTGCTGCATCTCATAAGTTTTGGTAAAGCGTGCATATAGGCTGATTAATGTTTGTAAGCATTGAGAAAGATATGCAAAGATACACACTAAACCATTAATCTTTGCTGTTTCTGATGGGTAGAATTGCAGGGAGCAGTGTTCTAAAGCAGTCTATTAACTTTTTCTTCATACATTCTTGAATATTTAATTATAAACAACATTGTTAGCTAATATTTTTTAAAAACCTATTTTATAATATAATTAGAAATGATTAAAGGAGTAAAGGTACTAGCTCCTTTAACTCCCACAGCACTTTGTACAAATGAGAAGACTACAGCTATTTTGGACCCTTCATGCAGACTAGATCCATGTAGACTGAAAATATGTCACCCTAGATAACTATTGAGAAAGAGTTTTTAGCCAGCCTTTACCACATCGAAGTAGGTATCTATGGAAGCAAGAGTGAAATGGAAAATAGAAAATCAAGAATGGAGTTACTAATTCTAGCTGACTTTGTGAGTTCTAACAGCTCAACTCTTCCTCTATTGTACTGTAAGCTCCATGAGGGCATCGTTGGTTGTCTATTTCACCTTTGTATCCCCATTGAAAAGCTTAGAGCCTGAAACATTAGAGACAGACAATAAATGCTTAATGAATGAGTAACTGAATAAATACTTATTTTAGGATGGCAGTCAAAGAGTTGATTATTTCATTAATTGCTCTTTTCTGTGATAATTTGGTCGCAGTTTACAGAGCACCTCATTATTACCTCTGCTTAGTCTGTGATTATGTTGCACAGTCATTGCTTTTGGGTACATCTGTCTCCCCAGTAGGACTGTGAGTTACTCCCAGAGCAAAATATGATTTTTATTCTTTTTTTATTTTCTGTATCCCACAGAGCAACTAATTCAGTAAATTCTGAATATAGTAGGTTATTTTCCAAGAACACTCCTTCTAATAGTAGGACTCCAGCATTAAATGACTACTACATTAAAATATGATTAATTGATTCTATTCTTTTGATGTCACTTTTGATCCCATGCCTATCTTAAATTCTATGATACATCATTATAATCACTCCACTCATTCTTTAGCCTACACCCTCAACTTATTTGTCCCACTTCCCTTTGAATTACTTGTCTACTCTCTACATTTTTTCCATGGGATCCTTTTCATTCACGAGATTTTAAATACCATATGTGTGCTGTTGACCCAAATATTGATATTTAGCCTGAACTTTTACCCTGAAATTCAAACTCGTATATCCAGCTGCCTACTCTCCATCTCCACTTAGATGGCCATGGTCATCTCAAGCATAACATGCCCAGTACTGAAATTACTCTCTACCCTTATTCCAAATCTGCTCTTCTAACAATCTTCCCCATCTCAGTAAATAGTAATATCATCCTTCTGATTACTTAGTTGAATCATGACTTCTTTCTTGTCTCATTCCTATTTTATTTTCAAAAAATATTTTATTTATGATTGACACGTGATAATTGTACACATTTATAGAAGACAACATGATATTTTGGTACATGTATACATCACGTAATGATGAAATCAGGGTACTTAGCATATCCATCATCTTAAGTGTTAATCTTTTTTTGTGATCAGAACATTTAAAAACCTGTCTTTTAAATGTTTTGAAAAATACAATACGTTGTTATTAACTCTAGTCATCTTACTATGCAATAGAACACCAGAACTTATTCCTCCTGTCTAACTGTAACTTTATAGCTCTTGACCAATCTCTCCTCGTCCTATACGTTGTTATTAACTCTAGTCATCTTACTATGCAATAGAACACCAGAACTTATTCCTCCTAACTGTAACTTTATAGCTCTTGACCAATCTCTCCTCGTCCACTGGTATCAACTATTCTACTCTCTATTTCTATGAGAACAACTTTTTAGATTCCACATAAGAGTGAGATTATGCAATTGTCTTTCTATGTCTGACTTATTTTACTTGACATAATATTCTCCAGTTTCATCCATGTTAATGCAAATGACAGAATTTCATTTATTATGGCTGAATAGTATTCCATTGTGTATATATACCACATTTTCTTTATCCATTCATTTGTTGATGAATATTTAGGTTTATTTTAGGAATAGTACAACAATAAACATAGAAGAGCACTTATGTCTTTGACATGCTGATTTTATTTTATTGCAAATGGCCAACAGGTATATGAAACTGCTCATTCTACTCCTCTTCTCAAAATCCTGCAATAGCTTCCAAACTCACACAGAGTTACTATGGCTACTTGTTACCTCTCTGACCTTACTTTAACCTTCTTTCCTCCCATACTCACTTCACTGCAGCCACAGGTGGGCTGATTCCACTTGCATGGAGGGATCAGAGGTTTAGCTTAAATTGAACCAACACCTTCATAGGTAAAATGCTGAACTTTACCTATGAAGAAGGCATATACCAACAAGTCTTCTGGCAACCATCTCAGAAATTTTTTTTTAAAGGCCACAAAGGTCATTGATGGTGGGAATTATGTTCCTCAGTCTAAGAGTATGAGAAAATCAGTCTAGGAGGCCTGCATATATTTTTTATTTTATGGCTATTTTTTGTGTATGAAACATTCCTATTAAAAAAGTACTTTACTTTTTCTAGAAAATAGCCACTGGAACTTGATTAATTAAAATTTGAAACATATAGCTCTAATTATTGAGTTTTTTGGTTTAGGCCATTATTTTCAATCACAAAAGAATTCATCTTGAAATTCAATCAAACACAAAATCCAGAGGAGGAGGAAAAATTGTTGGAACAAGCTAGAAGAAATATTCTCAGATGTAAGGTAATGGTACACTATTTGTTTACTTAGTATGTGAGCTTTCTTTTCTAATTGGTGGATGATTACATGTTCTAAAATATTTTTAAAAATAAGAATATACCTTTCTTTAATTACAGTAGGCATAGTGAAAATATTAATGCAAACTAAAGTTAAAGCTTATTACCAAATAATTCAACTCCAAATGGCTTTTTGGGCAAAAGGTCTCCATAGATTATTGGGGAGTATAGCTGTTGACAACAGTCTAAGAGCCCACCACAAAATATCAATGGCTGGCAAATAAATCTCAGATTATGAAAATTCCACCTTTTCCTAAGAAAAGTTAATTGAGATATGATGTGTTTCAAAGAGGAAAGAAACCCTTCCTAAACCTTCACTATACATGCACAAAGCACTCTGTTCTTTCTCTGCAACAAACTATTCTTCACCTAACTTGTAAAAGATCCAGTCTTAAAGAGTGAAACATAAATTCCCAAATTTTCAAACATATACAAAACAGAACAGGAAGTGAGATAAGTCCTTTCGTTGCCTTTCTTACATTAGATTTAGTTTGTTTGACAGAGAAATAACATATATATGATTTTTCTTT